CCCGGCCCCTCTATGGGGCTGGTGCCTCCATCCTAACTTCTCTATGGGGGTGGTGGTTCCATCCTATTTCTTCTATGGGGTTGGTGGCTCCATCCTAGCTCCCTTATGGGGGTGGTGGTTCCATGCCAGCTTTTCTATGGGGCTGGTGGCTCCAACCCAGCTCCTCTCCATAGGCATTATCCAACGTGCCACCGCTGAGGAACTACTTCCTGGAGGAGGAGAACTACCGGAGCATCCAGCGCCCGCCCGGGGACATCATGTTCCTGCTGGTGCAGCGCTTCGGGGAGCTCATGCGGAAGCTCTGGAACCCCCGGAACTTCAAGGCCCACGTCTCGCCCCACGAGATGCTGCAGGCGGTGGTGCTGTGCAGCAAGAAGAGCTTCCAGATCACCAAGCAGGGTGAGGGGCACCGGGGTGGGGTTGGGGACCTTGGGATGGGGTTGGGATGGGGTTGAGGACATTGGGATGGGGATATCAGGCTTGGGATGGGGACAATGGGATGGGGTTGGGGACACTGGGATGGGGTTGAGGATGCTGGAATGAGGACTTTGGGATGGGATTGGAGATGCTGGGATGGGGTTGGGGACATTGGGATGGGGTTGAGGATGCTGGGAGGATGGGGGTGGGGTGGGGGATGCTGGGAGGAGAACATTGGGATGGGATTGGAGATGCTGGGATGGGGTTGAGGATGCTGGGAGGAGAACATTGGGATGGGATTGGAGATGCTGGGATGGGGTTGAGGATGCTGGGATGAGGACATTGGGATGGGATTGGAGATGCTGGGATGGGGTTGGGGTCACTGGGATGGGGTTGAGGATGCTGGGATGAGAACGTTGGGATGGAATTGGAGATGCTGGGACGGGGTTGGGACGGGGATGCTGGGATGGGGATGCTGGGGTGGGGCTGGGGCCTCTGGTCCCACCACGCTTGGGATTGGAGATGCTGGGATGGGGTTGGGGTCACTGGGATGGGGTTGAGGATGCTGGGATGAGAACGTTGGGATGGAATTGGAGATGCTGGGACGGGGTTGGGACGGGGATGCTGGGATGGGGATGCTGGGGTGGGGCTGGGGCCTCTGGTCCCACCACGCTCCCTCCGGCGCAGGGGACGGGGTGGATTTCCTCTCCTGGTTCCTGAACGCGCTGCACTCGGCGCTGGGCGGCACCAAGAGGAAGAAGAAGAGTGAGTGGAGGGCGATGGGGTCCCTTGTGCCACCCTTGGCACCCCCCGTGTCCCTTCTGCATGTCCCCACATCCCCCGTGTCCCCGCAGCCATCGTCACCGACGTCTTTCAGGGCTCCATGCGCATCTTCACCAAGAAGC